ACTATTTGTGCCAAGTTATTTCAAAATCCTTTGAACTATGAAGAAGTTCTAGATTGGACACAAAATATACCCTATAACAGACTATGTTAATATTTTACCTCTAAGAGTGACCTTGACCTTAGAGGTAGGGATGCAGGTGTTACGCATGATACATTGTCTTATTATAATGACTATTTGTGCCAAGTATTTTCAAAATCCTTTGATCATTGAAAAAGTTATTCACCAGACACAAAATATACCCTGCAACAGACTATGTTAATCTTTGACCTCCAAGTGTGACCTTGACCTTGCAAGAAGGTGAAAGGTTGTTGCGCATGACACATCGTCTCATTATTGTAAACAATTTGTGCAAGTATTTACAAAATCTCTTGTAGGATAAGAAAGTTATGGACCAGACATGACATACACCCTCAAATATACAAAAAGGCCATGATGGCCCGAGATCTCTCACCTGACCCATCAAACTCATCCGAACAATTACCTAGACAAGCATTTTGACGAAGTTTCATGACAGGTGAATCAAAAATGTGACCACTAGAGTGTTAACAAGGATTATCCATATTTGAGCAGAGTGACCTAGTTTTTGACCCCATGTATCCCATATTAAAACTTGACATAGAAATCATCAAAACAAACTTTCAGACCAATATCAAGGATATTTGGATCAAAACAGTTGCCACTAGAGTGTTAACAAGATTTTTATATCTTTAGCTCCTGTGACCTAGTTTTTCATCCGAAATGACCCATGTTCGAATTCGTCCGAGCAATTTCCTAGACAAGCATTCTGACCAAGTTTAATGATAATTGAGTCAAAAATTTGACCAAAAGAGTGTTAACAAGCTTTTTCTTTTTTAAGCTCCTCTGACCTAGTTTTCAACCGAGATGACCAATGTTCGAACTTGACCTAGAATTCATCAAAACAAACTTTCAGACCAATTTCCAGGATATTTGGATCAAAACAGTAGCCACTAGAGTGTTAACAAGATTTTTATATCTTTAGCTCCTGTGACCTAGTTTTTCATCTGAGATTACCCATGTTCGAACTCATCTGAGCAATTACCTAGACAAGCATCCTGACCAAGTTTGATGACGATTGAGTCAAAAATGTGACCACTAGAGTGTTTACAAGGTTTTTCTATTTTTAGCTCCTGTGACCTAGTTTTTCATTCGAGATGACACATGTTCGAACTCATCCGAGCTATTACTTAGATTAGCATCCTGGCAAAGTTTGATAATGTTTGAGGAAAAAATGTGACCGCGAGAGTGTTAACGAATAACTGTCGACGGACGACGGAAGACAGACAACAGACATTCAACGATCCTAAAAGCTCACCCTGAACTAGGTCAGGTGAACTAAAAATGTTGACCTTGAATGAGCAAGTGCGACCTTGACCCTGGAGGTAGGGGTCCGGTTGTTGCGCATGACACATCGTCTTATTATAACAAATATTTGTGCCAAGTTAATTCAAATTCCTGTGATAATTGACAAAGGACAACGAAAGTGTGACGGACGGATGTATGGACGGAGCCGTTTTCAATATCCCCCTTTTTCTTCGAAAAGGCAAGGGAGAACATCAATCTATGGGTTATAGCATTTCATTGGGCTCCATTAGGAATATTAGCTACCAAATAGGGTTACAACGCAGCGTTACTTCTCTTCGAATTTTAAAGGGGGTACATTTACAAAACGACCAATGGCAGCCACACCTGACATCTTAAGGAAGGTTGGTTGTTTCATCGCCAAAGTGAACCTGCCTTCTAAAGAAGAAATGGCTTCAAGATTAGGTGTGTCAAAGGCACCTATCTATAGCATTATAAATAAAATTCTGAAAGCAAAATTACGAAAGAAATGCAAAGTTCATGAACATCGCATGGCACAAATAAAGAAGCGCAGGGCCAGATCTTGGAAGCTTTATCTGAAATTAAAATGGAACCAGTGGAAAAAACTTTGTCACTTTGGATGAGGCTATGTTTTTGGATCATCGATAAAGGTACAAAGGTGAACTCTGAGTACTATATCAACAAAGTGCTCAAGCCATTTTTGGAGAAAGATGTTCTGAGACTTTTTCCTGAGGGGCAAAAGTAACGACATTCCACCAGGAGAGTGCATCTAGCCACACATCTAAAAGAACGCTTTCATTTCAAACAGACAAATTAACTTTATTACCCCCGAGGAGTGGAGGCCAAAGTCCCCTGATGCTGCACCGATGGACTTTGGTATCTGGGTGTTCTAAAACGTCGGCTGCAGAAGCAGCAAATAAACACGATTGTCGGTCTCAAAAGGGCACTGAAGGACGAGTGTCGCAAACTTGACCAAGCAACTATAAATAAGACTTTAAAATGGTGGCCAAAGCGTCGGAGGATGATTTACAAATGTCAACCACTCATATTTACTACAATAAATTAGTGTTTCCTGAGAATTAGCTGAAATTTTCTGTTTGTTCAAAAATAAGTTAGGCACATCTCGTATTGGATACAATTGTATGATAAAACATTTGTCTTTGTGTTAGACTCCAAGGATAGAAATGATACATGGTATATGATATATGGAAAAGATAGCAGGAGGTTGCTCTACAAGAAAGTGGTGTTGCAGTATGTCAAGTTTTCCCTGATAAAATGAAGAAGCTGTAAACACTTCAGTTGTTGAAAAACAGGTGCAAACTATGTTCATATCTACAAATTGACAAGACTTAACCCATATTCAAACAATGTCAAAAATTTATGATAAATAATAAATTTAATTTGATTTGCAAACATTTAAACATTCAAGATCTTACACTATTATGGTCATATGGCCACTGATTGACAGGTGGAGCAAAACCCCTGGTACCCCTGACATGCATTATTTCAGGCAATTAAGTAGAACCACCAACATTCTGTTAATTAGCTGAACAAATTCCTTGCATGGAGGAACACAAAATATTTGGCAAAATTTGAGACCATATCATCACAGGTCAAGGGGTTTGAAATCTGAGCAACCTTAACTGCTCAATTGTTATTTAAGAAGGCTTTTAGCTGAATAAATTAGTTGTTCAAAAATTGAACGAGATATTAAAATGATTCTTAAACATGATTGTATTTCCTTTACTGTGTGAAATTTTAATCAAGTCATGTAATTTTTGTAGTATATTAGCAAATTTGTATTAGACGAAAATATATTTCCCTGATTACTTAGTACCAATAAATGTCGTTTTGCGCACATATTTTGATGACTATGTACTTTTCAGTGTGAAAGTCATTCAGCTTTTGGATTGACAGCCTGACATATACTTTTTTTACATCGCACCAATGCAGTATAGGTTACAGGGCACGATTCAGCTTTACTGGTCAGTGGTGTAGGAAGACCTTAGGCGCTCTTCTATGAATTATATCTGGCACCAATAGGCACCTTAGTAGAACCACTGACATGATGTTGGATAACTTCCTCACACAAAATCCTCACACAAAATCCCTACTGGGATTCAAACCAAATGCCATCAGGGGCAAGTGGTTTGAAGTTAACAACCTAAACCATTGGACCACAGACGCCCCCGATGCAGATTTTTATCCTGATATGAGTGAATTTTCTCCTCATGACCATGCTAAAACTGTATACATAATTAGTGTCTCCATACATAATTATTTTACAATAAATCTACTTACTTTTGTCCAACAGGTTTTATTCAGATTCTTGAGCATGTCAACCCGCAAGTTGACCAAAAAGGTGTGATTTTTAATATTCAACCAAACTTGTCAACAAAGGCCATCGAGGGGAAAGTGTTAAAGTTCCCTTTGTTTGGGGTATGATTATCATTTTGCTTGATGAGCAATTTTAAAATCGCGGGCGCACAAAACACATGTATCTTTTAAAATCATGTTAACTGATATTTTTAATTATAAGTATTAAAGCCAAAAATACAATATTTCTGCCGAACGACCAGAGATCTAGTTCAAGAGTTCGAGCAACCAGTGTTTGAGTGAAACTTAGGTAGAACAACATAGATTATATAGGAAAATTTGCTGGTACTGGTCAAGAGTTTGAGAGAAGTGGGGAATTTAAGCAATCCGAGTTTGAGCGATTAGTGTTTGAGTAATATCGTAGTTGTGAGAAGACTTGGCTGGTATCTATTGAGAAATGTAAAAGTTAACAGTACACGTATGCAGTCAAACTTGTCTTAAAGATCACCTCAGAACAAAGACCAGTTTAAGACAACCTTTTTTAGTTTAGGCAGAACAAAGTAACCTCGAAATGAAGGCCACTTGTCTGTAAAAGCCAATTGTTTGGTCTCTCTATAGGTTGCTCTTTGTTCAAAGGTTTGACTGTATCTCTATATACAGTGCCACCTGAACAAAGTTGACCTCTTCAGAGCAAATACAAGTATTAAAACTCTCTTAAATAAAACTGAACAATTAATGTAATCTCAATAGGACAGCACCTCTAAGCAACAGCCTACACCTTTTTCTTCGAGAGGGTGTTGCTTAGCAGAAGTTGTACTGTACATGTATTTCAATAATCTCAATCACTTTTGAGATCACGCACTCACCGGGTACCTATTATGCACCATATCTGAAGTATTTGATCATATATGTGTTTTTATTACTAGATCATCTCTTAGGTTTTTACATGTTCTAGTGATGACTTTAAAGACTGACCAGTATTACTCTATATGTGATCCCAAAATTAGTATTTGATAAATATTGATCAAACTTCAACTTCTTTATGTAAGTCTTATTAAATCTTCCTATTAGTACACTAAAAAACAACATAAAACCATAAAAACAACGTGAAGCTGAAAACAATGTTTAGAATGCAAGTTGGGAAGAAAGTCTTAATCATTCTGTTTTTTAATGTTGTAACTGAATGATTTAAAACCACTTATATATCATTTTGTCAATACAGTTTATGATCATTCTACTAAGTCAACATAAAGTTTAAACATTTACACACCCACAAACTAGGGGAGATAGCAATTTAAATGTTAAGAATTGTGGGATAAGAACAACTTTAAATTTCAAAAATCGGGACTTTATTTAAATTTTGAACAGTCAAAATACTGACTGACAAACACGACACTAAAATGCTCACTATGCACTAAAAACAATTGATATCTATTCAGTTTAAACTTATACATTTGTGTTGTAACACAAGGAAGTAAATATCAATTTCAAATTCCACGTATCCAGTATCAACAGCAAAATATTTACATTAGAAACCTGTGAGACAATTTGAGGATTACAATTTCAAGGTACAATATTTTTATTAAATATCTTAATGTCTACAAAAATGACTCTCTTATAAAGGAAACAAGTGAGCGTTATTATTTCATTATGCTTTTTTCAAAAAAAAGAAAGTTAAATATACATTATATTTTGATACACAAAGTCATGGTATTGAAAAACGTCTGGACAGAGCACTCCACTTTTCTCATTGCTGTTTTACAAATATAACTTAGAAAAGAAAGGATATTATCCTGCAAATGTGATTAGCAGACTAACATGTCCTTGATAGTCTACAATAATTTCAAGTTTAAAGTGAATACATTTTTTTAGTTATAAAATAATTTAAAGATTATCTGCCCTTTTGAAAATTAATGGTGTCCTTTCATGACAATAAACAAGTACACCAAGTTTGAAGTGAATGATAAGCTATTATATTTTCTGAGAAAATGGACCTAATAGCAAAATGGTTAACCAATGTCCACGTCAATGTTGATGCTGACAAGAGGGTCATGATAATAACACTAATAAAGTTTAACCAAAATAAAATATTGTTTGCACTAGATCTTTATTAGCCCCTAACCTGCTGAACTTCCGGTCCACCTTCTAGAACAATCCATTATCAATTTTGTTGATAGATACTAGACATGACTTGAAGCCATAGAGCTACTGGGTTGTGAAGATATTAGTCAAAACCCAATTGGATCTTGACCTTTGACCCTGCACACAAAAAAATCAAATGAGGTAATTTTCTGCCAGAGATAAATGCTTCTACCAAGGTCCATTCAAGGTCAGTGTTACCTTGACATTTAAAACTGCAACCCGAAAAGCAAAAGGGGTCATGCAGTGGCCAAAACCAATGTACCTACGCAATTTGACGGCAAAGGAACATAGAGCCAGGACATTTTTTTTCTTTTTCCATATGATCAAGAGAGAACTGATTTATTCTATGCAGTGATTCTTTTAAGATTTCTGATCCATTAAGTGTGAAATGTCTGCTGTAATTATACTTGCAGACAACTTTTACCTTTGGCATCATCTCACATACATGGCTGGTTAATCATATTAATATAAAATACATAAATATGAGACATACTCTATAATATAGTAATATCTGATAATCAATAGAACGTCCTACATGATAGCGAAATATGTTTTTGATAACTAACATGTCCTCAGAGTCAATTTAACCAGTTTTGTTTTGTATTTTAATTTTAAATAACCCTCGAATTATTTTTAAAAAAAGACAGTATTAAATGAAGATAAACGTAGTACGCACCTCCAACCCCTTTCCCCCATCTGCAAGTACTGGTGGCATAAAAGCTTTTAATAATTACATAGCATGACATCAACTTTCATTACAATTAAAACAAGTCATAAATATGAAATGAACAATATATATACTGTGTCTTCATAGTTCACAGAAGTTCAAGAAAGAAAACAATCAATGAACACTCCCTATAAAAAAATTGCCATAGGCTATAGCATTTACATTCTTTCTGCCTGCTGTATGACAAAAGGTAACAATAACATATTCAATCAAAATCAGATTTAATGATCAAAACAAGATCATAGGTCGGCAATTTTGAAAATAACATGTCATCATTTAAATCGCGACATATGGTATTACACCTTATTTTTTCATGTTTCAGTAAAATTACTAACTGTTATATTGTTGAAATTCAAATTAAAACTAAAACTATCTTTACTTTGAAACTAAAAATCAAGAACATATTAAATGTTTCATATGTATGCATACATTTTAATGGACTACTGTGGCTTTTTGGAGAAATGAGTAAAATGTTGTTTTGTTTTATGTTAAAGACTACAGATTTCAAATATTTTGCGCGTTTAGGAGTATGACTTAATGACGTAAAATTATTGATGTTGAGTATAATTGCTTGAATATTTTTCCAACCAAACTTTTATCCACAAAAAGGTCATACAATGTATTAGATATCAACTACACTTTGCCATTATTTCAAATGATCTATAAATGTCAAGTTTTATGTATTCACTAATGGACAACATGACAAACATGCAATACATAGTAATCTATTATAATACATTTTAGGTAAAATATGGCTGTCCCAGAAAAGAAAGCATCAAAACAATTTTCATTATCAACAACATTCATTGCATCAGATGAGGTTTCTCAAATTTATTGCCAGCCTTGTGACGAGGATGGAACTAGACTCCCTGTCCATGGTTACTGTACTGACTGCAAGGAACACCTTTGCAAGACATGCTTTAAAGCCCATAAGATAACCAAGTTTACCAAAAAGCATACACTTCTGAATGCAACAAGTATGCCTAAAGTTTTGCAGCAACCCTCAACATCCATTTACACAGGCCTGTCAGATGATTTGACCTTACCGTGTCTTAAACATCCAAAAGAAATGATCAAGTTCTACTGCAATGATCATACAGAATTTCTCTGTAGTGTTTGTGTAACCCTTGAACATCAAGCTACTTCCTGCAATGTCAACTATATACCAGACATTTCTGGTGATATAATAGACAGCAAAGAATATCAAGTTATCTTGAATGCAGTCAATACCACTTCTGACAAATTTCAACAGATATTAAAAGATGTCAAAAACATGACATTAAAGTCAAACAGCTCTCTCAAAGATGCATTAGTTGACATTAAAAAGTTCCGCCAAGAAATCAACCAAAGACTTGATGTACTTGAGAGACAGGCTGAAGATGCAGCTAAAGCCATAGAACAAGAAAACAACAAACATCTGAAAGCAGTAGAAATCACATGTGAAGAAGTTACCAAATCTCTGAAGATATCATCAGATAATATCAAACTACTCAACACAACAAAACAAGCTGACAAACTCTTCATTGATTTAAAACTTGCAGAGAAAACAAACAAAAATATCGGGAAAAATTTCTAAAACTGCCCTCATTTGAAAAAAACAGCACAACTTTTAAAACAAATTTTTTAAAAAATCAAATTTTTTTAAAAACAGAGAAAACCACTGGGGACAAATTTAACACAAAAAATTTCAAAACCGGATTTTAAAACTGTACAAATGAAGTCTAGACAATTTTCACATGAGGGAGAAATCTGTGTGAAGACATCAAAAGATAAAATATCATGCCAGATAATAGGAATGACTCTGTTGACTCCTGATCTTCTTATCATCACTGACTGTGACAATAATGCTGTAAAGATGGTGGATACCAGCAGTCAATCTGTGTCTGATCAACTACAACAAGATGATGAACCATGGGATATCACTAGATTAACAAGTACTGAACTTGCTGTCACACTTCCAGACATACAAACAATACAATTTATATCAATCTCATCAAACAAACTCATAAAGAAGCACACTATGAAGGTTGGTGGGAAGTGTCATGGTATAAGCTGTTACCAAGGTAAATTTATTGTGTCATTCTTTAACCTGGCAAAAGTTCAGATCTTTGATATGAATGGCACTATACTGACAACAATTGATGTAAAAAAAACATCTCAAAGATATATGGTCTATTACATGTAACAGAAGTTCAATCTATGTATCTGACTGGGGCATGAAGACAGTAACAAGATTAAACTGGCAAGGTGATGTGATAGGTAGTTATAGTGGTATGAGTATCCCAATGGGAATGTCACTGTCAGATGAAGGTACTGTCTTTTTGTGTGACTGGGAGAGAAATTATATAAAAGAAATATCAGGAGATTGTTCTACAGGAAAGGTGGTGATGCAGAACCTGGAAAGACCAAGGGCTGTATGTTGGTGTGGGAAAACAAAGAAACTGTACTATAGCTGTCTTGCTTTTAATGATGACAACTTCCTTCAAATCTATAAACTGTCATAGACTTAAACAGATACTTAATATTAAACAATGTGAACAGATCTTAAATTCAGCATCAATTCTTTTAAAACTGGTCTTTCAGTGAAAGCATATTGAAATACTAAGCAAGATACTTGTATCTCATTTTGGCATGAAGACAGTAACAAGATTAAATCGGCAAGGTGATGTGATAGGTAGTTATAGTGGTAAGAGTAAGCCTACGGGAATGTGACTGTCAGATGATGGTACTGTCTTTCTGTGTGACTGGGTGAGAAATGATATAGAAGAAATATAAGAAGACTGTTCTACAGGAAAGGTGATGCTGCAGGAACAAAGGCTGTATGTTGGTGTGTAAAAACAAAGAAGTTGTATTATAATTTATAGCTGTGAATTTATAGATCAAAATTTTCTTCACCTCTATGAGCTGTCATAGTCTTCAACGCAAATATTATCAAAACAATTTGAAAAGTTCTTAAGGTCAACATTTTTTTATTATGCAATCTACAATAGATAAATACAGAATCCCCAAAGAAAGCCCAACACGGCAAAATTGAAAATGTTGCAGGCTCGGTTTGATTGAGCCTGTTCATGGACAGTACTGGAAAGTGCAAGTTACCGTCCACGCCCCCTAGCACCGGCTTAAACAGAATTCAACATTTAAACATGAAAATACTGAATTTTGAATAATATAGAAATATCAGCGGATGTGTTCATACGGCGGTTATCATGGAACCTTCAATGTGACACTTCCGTGCCATTCCATGAAAAGCGGCGTAAGGGTCCAAGTAATAAAAAGCGTGTGCCCTAAACGATAAAACAATGGGCGGAACTAAATAAAATGGAATTTTGAAAGGGGATCAGAGGATATGAAGCCTGCGTATCACAGATAAGACGTCAAAAGACAAATTTAAAAAGCAGGCAACATATCCTAAGGGTGATTCAACATTATTCAAGTAGGAATATTGGAACCACCCAACTAGAAAATGCCTAACTACAAAACCTGTGCATAAAAAATTTGCAACTTGCACTCTGTCACAATTAAATCTTTCAAAATTTCAAACTATGAAGTTTAAGTTACAATTAAATAGAAAATATTCTTTTTGACCTATGGTCTGGACAAAAAAGGAGCAAGAAAAATAACAATAACAAAGGGCAATAACTCAAAAAAAGGAAAAGTGTAGAATTTATAATTCTTTAGTTTTGCATCTTTATTTATGCAATCTATCTACCGGTGAAGTTCCATGTTGAAATATCAAGTTGTTCAAGTTATGCTCCAGAAAAAAAGGGACGCACACAAGGACTTTAGCATAACAAAACTGCTGTACTCAAAGTTTTAACAAAACATATTTTGTTATAATGCACGCCTTGCATAACATAACATTTGTTACCTTATATTCAGATGATTTCAATAAAAGTGAGAAACAGCCTTTTGTTGTGGTGGTGAAAATAAATGAAAAGCTTTCTTTTAAAAGAGTGTATTATTTCAAGGTAAAACTAACCATAACTCTTTATCATCTATATATGAGAGAGACTAAAAGAGAATTGGAACGCCACACAAAATACCGAATTCCGGTAATACCGAATTAAATGCTAAAATATCGACTTTTCACCTAATGGAATGAACTTTAAAATGACTAATTCATCACTTCACACCAATTTATTTACGATAATAAATGGAAAATGTAAGAATCAGCAAAAAAGAGATTTTTGTCTATTTTGTGATCATAATTTCTTCAAACGTCTAGAGGTACTGCTCCAACCCTGTATTGAGTTCAGTAATCTATTTATACACACAGATTACTTTTATCTTTAAAGGTTATACAAAATTGTCAGACTACATGATGGTTTATTAAAATCCCATGTCCCATCACTACGGCATTGTAATGCTGACTGCCCGTCCATGCTAAACCCAGCACTGCATGTAATATTGGCGAATGTGGATTCACTATTACTCCACAGCTCCATAGAACCTCCTGTTACTGATCTTAATGTTTCACATAAGACTGAAAATATTGAATATGTAAGATTTTTGCTCCTGCTACTAAATGTAATGTTTCGCATAAAATTTGAAATAAAGAATAATTTTTGTAATCTTTTTCCTTCTGTTACTTAACTAAATATTTCACATGAGACTGAAAATATAAAAAATGTAATATTTTTGCTTCTGTTACTGAATGGTTCACACAAAATTGAAAATATAGAACATGTAATCTTTTTTCCTCTTGTTACTGATTGTAATGTTTAACATAAGACTGAAAATATAGAAAATGTAATAGTTTTGCTCCTGTTAATGAATGGAATAACTCACATAAATCAGAAAATATAGAATATGTATTTTTTTTTTTAGATTTTTTACTACACCAACATGCAGCCATTACGCGGCCTTTTAACGCCTTCCCCCCCCCCTTTTTATTGTCTCAAATGATGAAAAAATGCCTTATTTAGGCCCCCAACACTTGTTTATGTTTGAGAAATGTTGTTAAAAAAGTGACCACTTTTTCGGCGCGGCCCCCAACCAAAAGATACATCAGGGGGTTGCCAGAAGGGGGATTCACCAAGAAAATTTTGGACTTAAGAGAGGCTAAAATGGCCCAAGATTGATCATAAGGTAACGTGTAACCAAAGCTGAAAAGCATTTCACTCTATCTCAATCCATTGAGAAGTTGCAGCACTTTGAAATCAATTTTGATGAAAAAAATCAACGCAAAATAGTGATTTTTGGCAATTTTGAGATGTTCCCTCGTTGCCATGGTAACAGAAAATGTAAGCCTGAGCATGTTGTTGCAAGGGCAATGGTCCAGTCAACATTTGTGCCAAGTTTGATTAGTATATTGAATCACTTTTTATAGTATTATAGCAATTTGAACTTGAATCGGGAGACTTTTCAATGAAAACAGCCATTTTTCACAAAATGCTCATGAAGTAATGGGTTAAGAATGTTATGTTTCAAATGAGACTGAAAATACAGAAACTGTAAGATTTTTGCTCCTAGTTACCGAATGTCATGTTTCATATAAGACTGAAAATATAGAATAAGCAAAATATTTTTGCTCTTGATACTGAATGTTATGTTTCACACAAGTCTGAAAATAAAAAATATGTAAATATTTTTGCTCCTGTTATTGAATGTTATGTTTCACATAAGACTGAAAATAAAGAATATGTAATATTTTTGCTCACTGTTAATGAATGTAATGTTTCACATAAAACTGAAAATACAGAATATGTAATATTTTTGCTCCTGTTACTACACTTAATGTTTCACATAAGCCTGAAAAGATAGAAAATACAATAGTTTGCTTCTGTTACTGAATGTTATGTTTCACATTAAATTGAAATACAGAATATGTAATCTTTTTGCTCCTGTTTCACACAAGACTGGAAATATAGAATATGTAATATTTTTGCTCCTGTTACTGAATGTTATGTTTCACATAAAATAGAAAATACAAAATATGTAATTACTGAATGTAATGTTTCACATAAAATTGAAAATACAAAATATGTAATTTATTTGCTCCTAAAAACATGAAATATTTAAGCTGTTGGATATTGTTAGAGTATTATAACAATTTTCTAGGACTGACTGATAGAAGATCACTGATTCACCTACATGCAATACAAAACTGCTGGATAAAGAAATCAGAATTATTTTTGTTAAGAAATTAAGAATATTTTATGATTTTTTTTTAAACTTTGCAAATGTAAACAATTATTAAATAAATTATTTATGGTATGTAAACATGTGTCATTTTTACAAACCATACAAATTTGTTTATTTACCACTGTTCTGTAATTAGGTAATAAGATTTCCTCTCAAACTATATTGCATTATTGTCATTTTTACTTAACAACAGGTTCATACATTCTTCAGTAATTGTCAACGAAATTATTGTGTAAGAATTATAATTTATGTTATGTGTAATGTTTGCCTGAAAGCACTTTTTCTATACTTCATATATATTGTTGTAAATCAAGTTTCTTTGAAAAATATTATTTTTTACTGTTTCTTATTTATTTTCTAAGGGATCAACTTCAAATATATGTTCATTATCATTAACCACATGTTATATGACAATGTTCATAAATCTAGCACCAATATTGCAAGAATTATCTCCTCATGAACTTAGATTTTTTTTTACTTAAAAATATTATTTTTTACTATAACTTCTTTAGTTTTAAAGGTATTTACCTAAAACTTAAAATACATATTCCTTATCATCAATTACATCATATAAGACAAGGTTCATAAATCTTGAAGCAATATTTTCAGATTTATCTCCCTTTGAACTCAGGATTTTTTAAAGAAATATTATTACTTCTTTATTTTTTAAGGTATCTACTTTAAATAAATATTTATCATTATTCACATGTGTGACAAGGTTCAATGTTCTAGTGAGACTTTTTTCCAGAATTATCCCTTCTTGAACTTGGAATTTGTGTTAAGAAATGTTATTTTTTTACTGTAACTTAATACATATTTATACATAATTAATTTTTATTTCATAGTTTTGTCTTCCTTACTGCGTCCAGTATTTCATTAGTCAAGCTTTGCTGTCTCCTGTGACAGCTCTTGTTTATATCTTAGTTACAAACTTTGTAATTTTAGTTCATATTAGGTTGAAATAGTGAAATGTTACAATTTTACACATTAAGAGTTATGTTGCAAATTTAGTAATATTACAATATTTAGATTTATATTCCTTTTACAGATTAAAGATGAACATTAAAATTTACAAAAAAAAATGCTTTAAGTAGTAATTGACTTTTAATCATTCTTATGTATTTAGATATGTTTTTGTAAAAATACTTTTCAAATTTAAAAATGTCAAATAAGAGTGTTCTTTATACTCATAGGATTTTCTATTTATAATTAAATTCAATTAGTAATATTTTTGTTTAAAAAAAATGATCTCCAGTATTTTTTAAACATTTCTGTGTTTTTCATGTACCTGTTGAGTACTTTGTATGTAATTCATACCATTCCCCACTTTAAATAATTTGTAAGAATAATAATGAAATAA